CCATCCATTCCCTGCCCACCCCAACTCTTCATGGTCAAGACTTCTCCATCGTCCTCCAGAAAACGAACACATGGATTCTGCAGACTTTGCCACCAGTACATCTACTATAAAGGTAAGAGTGAAAAATGTAAGGGGATTGGGAGAATCTTTGAGTGGGAGATCATCAACCTGAAAGGGTAAGAAATACTGCTCCTGACATGGACAGCTCCTGCTGTTGTTTCACATCACCTAACCCTGCTGTCCTACTGTTGTTTATTAGTTCTCACTACGGTTCCCCTTTACATCATCTTTTTTTCTTCTTTTCCTATCCCATCTCCCTTCCTGCCTGCCTCCCCCTTTTACTGCACACATAATTTTAAATCCCTTTAGGTACCGTCCGCAACCCACGCCCAACTCCCAACCTTTCACTAACATCACCCTCTCCTTCAGTTCTTTCCCTGGCTCTAGGAAATCCTGAACCAACTCTGGGTTTTCCTTCACCTCCACCCTCTTCCCAATCTGTACCCCTCACTCCTCCAGCTAAACAGGTATCTCCAATTGCACACTCTGGGGATAGATTATCTGCTTGAGAGATGAGGGAGCCAATGTGCTAATTTATACCCTACAGAATGCTTTGTACTCTTAGGGCACAAATAGAAACTTTAAGCAACTTTGAAAAAGCAATTTATTAGGTGATGAGAATTCTTAACTGTTTTTTTCCAATGAGGTTTTTAATAGTTTCCAACATACCTGGAAGGAAAAAAATTGGATCTGCTGATTACAGAACATCTTTAGGTCTGGGACCAGGTAACTGCATGTATGGAATCAGTGCTGCTGTACATCAGCCATCTACATTCAGGACAGCTGATAGTGGAAAAATAAACTCTGTTGCTGAGTACTGGAGTCACAGCAGCAGCAACATGAGCTGTCACTAACATACAACTGTTTAAAGGGCACTGCTGGAGTCTTTCCCCACAGGCTTCATCTGGGGTGCAAATGTAGGTAAATCTTTGCTCTGGGATGGACTTTCTCTGCCTCTGTGCAGCAGCAGCCCTGCACACAGGCCATAGCACAGTCCAGGTTTTCACCACCCCATTCTCTTGACATTGGACCAGGAAGAACGTCTCAATCCGTGTGCCACCCTTACTTCATTCCACTCCAGCTTGACATCTGGAACATTCTCTGTTATCTCGGGATCCTCTCTGACTGTCCCCTGAGGGGAAGCCACAAGGAGAGGCAACGGGCCTTGCTCCTCACGGAATTCCACCACGTGGAGGCTCTTCTCATTTGCCAAGTCCTGGTGGGTTTTCTGTTTGGAGAAGGGAGAAGAAATAAAAAGGATCTGTGGTAAATGTTACCAGGAGAAAGGCTAGCTTACCCTGTTGTTTTGAGTATGCTGGTCTCTAAATGATATTTATTTGAGATTGACCTGAGACACAAAGTAGAATGCAGTTTGCCTGTGAGGGTTCAAGGTCTCAATGTTGTAATCAACACTATTTGCATTTATCTTCTAATAAAATATTTTAGCTACTGTGTATAAACTAAAGACTGATCAGCAGTAGGTTAGTGGATAGAACAGTTAAATGAATTAGGCAAATGGTGTCCTTTCTGTTGGTAAATCCAAAGCAGCTTTATACTTCTGGGTGAGCTGTTACCATTTCAGGCTTTCTGATTTGCTGGCACTGTAGTGTCATTCTTAGCAGCTTTCCTCTCTGGAACAGATCCTACTATAACCTGTAGTGTCTTCTGTGAAAGTATGAACGAGCAGTGACTAAGTCAACATCCCAGAGGAAGCTGTTATGAAGATGGGGGCGCTGAATAGGAAAATATGAAGTTAAAGCAAACATCCAGTACAACACAGTTTCTCCAGATGGACAGGTAAATGGATGCTAGAAGCTTCTGATAGGCATCATATAGTAAGCTTCCCAGTGCCACATTATGCTTGCCATTTAGTCTCAGTTTACTATAAATCTTTCTATTTCACCAGTAACGAAGCAGCTGTGCTGCCCACTGCAAACACTTTGAGGTAATAACTATTTTTGTTAGGTTGATTTTCAACCTAGCCTTGTTCTCTCAAAAATTGCTTCGTTAAAGTTCTCACTCCCTAGGACATGCATCTGATAACAACAGGGAACCCACAGCTGCCCTTTCAGTGCACTGAAAGAGCTAAATTTAATGACCATCTCTGGGAACAGTGAGTCACCAAATGGGTCTCTTGCCTTTCCTCCATTTGTTCTGCCACATACTATCACTCCTGAAAGCTTGTTACAGCTAAAAGACAAGCCATGATTTTGCTGTTGCTTAGAACTGCGCTGTAAAAACACTGGCAACAGCAGAAAAGGAAAAGCATATTTTCATAAGCTCTATTTAAAATGTTAGTTGATTATTGATTGGGCCACAGGGTCAGAGACTACAGCCTTCTACTGACTGTTTCCCAGTCACCTTAAATAGATTATCACAGAATCATAATGGGAACATGATTAAGGCATCATCTTTTTCAACTGTCACTGAAAAAACCCCCAGACTAACCCCACCAGTTTGGATCTCTTCTCAAGGTGCTTCCTTGTTAAATGTATTAACATTTCTGATAGCAGTGTCTGACGGGGCAGCTTTAGGTGGTGATGATTCCAGAGCGGAAGTATGAAGGAAGAGTTAATTCCAGCTCTGCTCTCTGAATTGTAGAATTAATGTCTATATTGTTATTTCTGAACCAAAAACTAACTGTTTGTCTATGAACTACTACCACATTGATAGTAGTCCACCTTTTGAACTAATGAACAATGGACTACAAGTGTGGATTGTAAAAAGTACCTGGTTTGCCAATCCCTTAAAGAGTGCTTTGGTGAGGTTAAGTATATTATGGGATCCACATAGTTTGGCATACAAGTCTGTAATCCCGATGAGTTTGCAGATACTGATAATAGCCCGGTGACAACGTAGACCATGCCCTGAAAAAAAGTTAGCAAGTAGACCAGTGAGAATGTTAGTTAAAAACATAGAGACTTTAACACAACCTCTATCACCACCAGACTGACCTGCTGCAACCTCAAAATGGCATGAAATTACAAGTACTGAAAGCCCTCAGAATCTTCCTTAATGATAAAATAGCACAAATACTGGCATATTACTCCTCACATTCTTCACAGCCACACAGATGTAAACTCACTTGATTTCTCTATTAAAGATAGGTTACTTAATACATTGCACAATTACATTAAAAATGTCACCATCAATGGGCCTTTGTACACACAACAAAACTGGCCTTTAAAGCAGCTTAAACGCCCTTTTTGCACCGCTTTAATAGCATTGCTATTTCCACACTCAGCAGAGTATTCCACTTCAAATGACTTTATTACATAGCAGGGTAAAACCCATCCGAGGTATTTTAGTTTGCTACCTAACAAAGTTGAACAGTGTATGGGGTGCTGGAATCTGATGTGCTCGGGGAAGCTCGGGTTTGGCAGGCTTCCAGTGCCCTGTGCACCATCCCCACCGCCTTCTCCCACTGCCAGCACACCCAGCCACCCTCCTGCTGCCTTGCTGCTTTGCCCCAGTGGCAAGCCAACCATTCCTAGGTGGTCCCAGGTGGTGGGAAGGCAGCGAGGACAGTGCATAGGGTTCTGGAGCTTAGCTGCCTCTCCTGCAGGAGGGAGTGAGCTGCGGGGAACCCTGGTGCTTGCCTCCGCAATGGCGGTGCCCACCTGCTGGCACCTGGCCCATGTGGTTCCTGGGGGGCACTGCCATTGCAGAAGGAAGAACTTGGGGACCGTTTGGCCTGCCAGCAGTTCGCCCCAGGCAGTTTCCCTGCCCCACAGCGGAAGAGGCAGATAGGCTGGAGGAAAACAAAAAAGGATCAGGCCCCCTCACCCTTGTACATGTGACGGGTTTGGTTATCCCTAAATGGAAACAGTGTGTTTTTAAAAACCCACTGTTTCAATTTAGGGAGAACTAATCTCCAGTTGCGTGTACAGGCACCCAGTAAGGCTAAGGCATGTAAGAGGAAGAAATGCTGAACAGCAGAAATTTGGGTAATAAACTTTACAAGTGCTGTCTCACACTAAAAAAAAACAATGCTTCTCGTGGGATTCACAAGTATGCAGAAGAAATATATGAACATTCACCAATGACATCATGGTAAGTGAGTCTTTTTCTCCCAGTAATGTGAGGATATTAATTCGATACTTTCCAAAGCTTGGAATCTAGGCGAGAACTAAGGAATAATAAGTTTCTGACTTAGGCTCAAAGCTTTTATAGCTAAAATAAGTTCCATCTCATCACCCCTCATGTTCAATGTGTATCTGAGGCAACAGGCGAGACTGTATGGAGATTTGGAGCAAGGTGTCAACAGCATGCTGCACATGCATGGCAGGAGGCATGATTGTGGGATCAGATCCCAATCATGCCATATTGCTGCTCCAGCACGAGCCCGGGATCATGATCCCAGGCTTCCCCTGCATTTCCAAGTAGGAAGCCAGTCAGATGATCCCCGCTCCCAGCCTCAGTAGCATATTGGAGTCAAGGGCTCTGCTGCTTCAGAGCCTGACGAGCAAGCTGCTGCTCCCAGCCTCTGGAGCATGGTGGAAGCAAGGGCTCTGCTGTGTCCCAGAGGCTGGGAACAGACCAGCTGATCAGGTCTTCCAGCCTCAGAGATGCATCAGAATCAAGGGCTCTGCTGTGCCCCAGAGCCTGGGAGCCCTGATCAGCTGCTGCTCCCAAATGCAGAGGCACACTGGAGTCAGGGCTCTGATGGACCCCAAGGCTGGGAGCAGCAGCTGATCAGAGCTGCCAGTCTCCGGGGGCACGCTGGAACCCTTGACTCTGCTGCGCCTCCTGGTTGGGAGAAGCAGTCAGCTGATTAGGGCTCCTAGCCATGGGAGCGCATCAAGGACTCCCACTGCTCCTGAAGCTGGGAGCTTTGGTCAGCCTGACCACACGTACAATTTAGGGTGTGATGGGAAGCAGCCACAAAGTTATACATTTTGTGCAATACAGTTTTGACTTATTCCTTGTTTTATTACACCATACATTGCATTAACATGTGGCTGGGTTACCACTTAAGATGTGATTAATTGGTTAATCAAATCTTAACATCTGCTAGGAGCCTCAGCTCTGCAGTCCTGTGATACTCCTGGATCCTTTGATGCACTTGGATTCTCGCGTGGCAGTGGTGGCTAGGAGCACTTTTCACCAACTCTAGCTGGTGTGAAGGCTGACACCTTTTCTTTGATTCAGATATGGCCACCATCACTATGTTTTCATAACCTTGAGACTAAACTACTGCAGTGTGCTCTCTCCGGGGCTCCCCTTGAGGACTGTTCAGAAGCTGCTGCTGGTGCAGAACATGGTGGACTGCTTTCTGATGAGGGTGGATAGCTGGAAACACATTGCTTCAGTGCTCCGGAATCTGCATTGGCTTTCAGTACCTTTCTGGCACTGGTTTCAACCTATAAAGTCCTGCATACCTGAGGAACTGCTTCCTTCCTTATGCCCCACTGCAATCCAAGGTCAGCTAAGAACAACTTCCTGCAAATACCATCTGTGCACCAAGTCCACTTGGCAATAATTACATGGAAGGCCATTCTTACAATCATAAGAAAATAAGGGTTGGAAGGAACCTCACAGGAGGTCATTTAGTCCAACACCCTTCTCAAAGCAGGACTATCCCCAGCTAGATCATCCCACCCACAGCTTTGTCTAGCTGGATCTTAAAAAATTCCAAGGATGGAGCTTCCACCACCTCTCTGGGTGACCTGTTCCAGTGCTTCACCACCCTCCTAGTGAGAAAGTTTTTCCCAATATCCAATCTAACTAGGTTGGATATTTTCAAAGTTTCTATTTCCCTTGCTGCAACTTGAGACTATTGCTCCTTGTTCTCTCATCTGCCACCACTGAGAACAGTTTAGCTTCATCCTCTTTGGAACCAGCTTTCAGGTAGTTGAAGGCTATTATTAAGTTCCCTCTTAGTCTTCTCTTCTCTAGACTAAACAAACCCAGTTCCCTCAGCCTATCCTCAGAAAGCATATGCCCCAGCCCTCTAACTATTTCCGTTATTCTCTGTGGCATTCTCCACAATTTATCTATATCCTTTCTGTAGTGTGGGGTGCAAAACTGGACACAGGACTCCAGATGTGGTCTCACCAGTGCTGAATAGAGGGGAACAATCACTTCCCTCGATCTGCTGGCAGCACAGCTATTAATGCAGCCCAGTATGCTGTTAGCCTTCTTAGCAATAAGGACACACTTGGCATTTGATTGTTGCTCCTCAGCTACCTCCCCACTGAGGCCCACCAGAGCCCAAGTTTGTCCATTTTTTGTAAGCTTTGTAAGACTTTTTTATTTGAGTGAGCATTTAGCAGGAGGAGTTAAGCTTTGACTAGTTTTTTGGGGGAACTGTTTTATTATTTTATCCGTTCTTATGACTTTATTGTTACAAGCCACCCTGCGCTTTTTGGGGGAGACTAGCATAGAAATCAAACACATAGAGAAACACAAAAATAAAACAAAGGAGCTGCATGAAGACAGAATTTGAACCAACGCTGGATTTAGGAGTTCTCTGAGGATTTGTTCATTAGAATGACAAATCAGTTTGTCTTAAGAGACATCTGCTCTAGCTTCATTGTGAAATATGCCTGAAAGGTGCTTTCTTTGTTACTTATTAACTGTCAAAGTTTAAAGCTTATATTCTGCAAGCGCTGCAAATACTACAAAATAAAGCCAGACTGGGTAATTCATAGCACTGTGCTCTCTTTGTTTGTCTTTCCTAAAAAGGGAGTCAAAGTTTTCCAAACAGTTAAAAAAAAAAAAATCACCAAAGCAACAGAAAGCCAACTCTTAAGTGGCAAGCATCACTTCAAGTTAGTGATGAAAAAAAGCTGATCTGCAGGCCCCAGATCACAGGCAAGAAGATGCATATTAGTCTCCTAATACAAGGCTAACCTCAGTAACTGATAGGTGGAAAGGGATCTTAGTGTTTACTCAGTTGAGCAGAGATCCCGGAGGCTGTCTGTAAAGCTGGCAGCAGTAGCCATAAGGGTGGCATACCAGCTGAGTAAGAATTTATATGCAAGAGAGAAACAAATGTTCAGGGCCAAGACCACAAAGAGAGACACATCAGAACATGGGAAAAGTATGCAGGATGAAGTGCAAGAGGGCCAATCACGCCCTATTAGACCGAGACTGATCCCAAGAACCATACCAGATACTGACTAGCCCCAGCACTAAACCCTGACGAGAGAGAGAAGACAGAGTAGATGATGGATTAGGAAAAGGAGAGACCAAGGAGCTCTGGGGCCAGCAACATCCTCCTGATGAAACTTTAGCTCCCACCACAAAAAAAAGGTTTCTGCTTCCATGCTCTTCTCTGGGTGCTGTGTGGGATACCACCAGTCATATCTGAATGCATCCGAGATGTGCAAACCTCATTCTGTCTCTGACTCTAGTTGCTAGAAGACAGAAATACTATCTATCCTCTTTTCCTTCTCCAAATCCAGACTGCTACTAGCATGGAGCAGGATGCTGCTGCTCTACTCTCTTGGCTTTTCCCTTGCCCTGTCATTCTCTGCCTCCACCACTCCAGTGCTGCGGTCTGCAAGGCTATTCAGCTGCAGCAGCATACGATTGACAGGGCTCTCCAGAGCTGCTCTCTGGATTCTGAGTATAAGGGAAACTGTACTGGCTCTTGTTGGGCAAAGCTATGAGTGGCACATGAGCCCTGGGAGCAGCCTGGGGTCCCAGGATGGTAAAATTTGGCATTTATGTTCAGCTCACACTAAAAAGAATTTTTTCTCAACTCCCAGAGAAAAAATCATTACTTCTTAAATTAATGGCTAAATTTGATAGTAATCAGTTCAATTTTTATAGGAGTCAGTGAAGAAATCTCCCTGCATATCCCTGGTGAACAGATGAGTGAGTGGATTATTCCCTGCTGAGTGAACAGCGTTTTGCCCCA